TATGTACATGTGATTTCATATAGACACATAAACTGCTAATTGATGAATTAGTGCGTGTTCATTAAGTTCTGTCTTCATCAACTTGGTTTCCAATGTGCAGTCCGCTCCTCCCAAGCTTGATTTCAGATAAAACAGGGTTTTGTGTTAGGATATCTTCACAAGCTGAATCCCTTGTCTGGCGTGCTGAGGTGATCATAAATCTCTGCATAGTGTTATATAAATAGACAATAGATGTTTAGATAAACTTATTGAATGATTTACAACTACTCAAGATTTTTATTGCTATTGCAGAGGCTTTTCTTTCTGAATGGGGAGCAGGATCTGTCATCTTTTGTATTGGTGAATATGGGGATCGTCAAGTATCCATCTTACAAGTGCATAATCACAGAGCGAATCTTCTCCTGTCAAGTGGAGCTGCTTGCTTATGAAGAGGTCTTTGTTTCCATGAGAACAAATATTAACATTCTGTGATGTCTACCATATTAAACAACCTTTTATTGCAGGCTATTGAAGTTGCACAAATAATGGATCAATCTCTTGATAAAAACGAGATTGATATGGTGTTGAGATGCATCACGATAGCTGACTCCCATATTTCCAGCTCTTATACAAAAGAATTTAAATCCAGAACATCTAAATCAGTTGCTGCATTCAGTTCACGGTTTACTGCATCATGGGTTTACTCAAAGGTGGCTCTATTAGGAATTTCCTTCCTTGAGCGTGAGCGCAGGTATCAAATTTGTACTTATGGATCATTGTTTTTATTTATATGCATACAACATGATTGGTTCCAGAATCAATCATAATTAGACTTTCATTATATGTTCCTGGGGAAACTATTGGCATTCATCAATCATTTAACTCCTTTCCATGATGGACCCTGACATGATTATATAGATAACCAATGCTAACTAGAAGTTAGGAGCCTGCAAAATCTGGAAAATAGTTGACTTATGTAGATACTGCATACTTTTCACCTCTATGCATTTGAGATTTTAGCTGCGTAAAGAACTTATTTTTTCTGGTTTAGGTACAATGATGCAGTTTATCTACTCAGGCTCTTACTTGATTGTCTCAATTGTGATGGAAGAAGAGGATATTGGATATTAAGATTGTCTGTTGATTTGGAGCACATGGACCTGCCCAATGAGAGCCTGTCAGTTGCAGAAAATGGATTATTAGATCCATGGGTACGTGCTGGTTCAAGAATGGCACTGCAAAGGCGAATTCTTCGCTTAGGAAAACCTCCAAGACGTTGGAAAACTCCAAGTTTTTCAGATTATATCAAGAGAAAAATCCCAGAGGTTATTGCTCTATTTATTCTCCCATGGTTTTTAACTTTCTAGAATCTAGATGCTCCTTGATTCTAGAACTTTGAACTAAAAGTTGTCGTCTGATATTCTGACATGCTGTCCTTTTCTCCTGTTTGATGACAATTGTTGTGGAGTATAGGTTCATATTCAAGGGAGACCTTTGAATTGCGAAACTGGTACAAAGAGCAGGTTTTATGGAGATGATGGGGAACAATGCGGTGTAGAGCAGCTCGCATTGCAGTATTATGCTGGGGAAGGTGGAGGGTGGCAGGGTGTTCATTCTGAAAGTGGCATTTGGTTGACTATCTTCGGACTTCTTATGTGGGATATTTTATTTTCTGACGTGCCAAATGTTTTCCGCACCAAATTTCAGGTTTGATTTTCAAGCTAATAAATTGATTTTGTATAAAATAATGATCACACAGAATATTTCTGTTTGCTTACAATTGAAAACAAAACAGTATAAGTATGAACTAGAAGAATACTTGTCAACCTATCAAAGATGTTTTAGGATGAAGGAGAGACAAAGGAAGAGAAGAGATTTGTGTTTCTCACATCAAATGAATAGTATTTTGGTCATTTTGCCAGATGAATGATAGGAAGGCCCGAGCTTCATAGGTGCAGGAATAAAATCAAAAGAACTTTCTGCTCAGTTCCATGTAGTTTCTTGGGATAAGAGCACCAACTATAGTTTCAGAGTTTGGTCTGTCCTACCTTTTCTTGTAACCTTTCTAATTGAGGAATAAATGTCTGTGTTTTGTACGGAGGAAAGAGAGAGGGATATGACTATTCTTTTAGTGAAAGAAAGGGTATGGATGGACTTGAGTAATGAAAGCATAGTTCGTTAAAAGCGTAAATTTTCACTCATCCTTAAAATTTTTTTACGAAAAGGACTTCTTACACTAGTCTTCCTTGTTTGCGAGTTGAAATTGCTTAAATATAAAATATCGTGCTTTCTGCAGACTGCTCCCCTGGATTTGGAGACCGATGGCTTTTATTTAACAAGGGAGAGTCTTATAGAGTCTCACCTTAAGAAAATCAATGATGGTATGGCTGAAGAGATGCTCATCACATCATGGGAATTGCATTTGGGGACAAATTGTAGAGGAGTTCATTGGGAAAGGCATTCTCTCTCTGAACTCCGGGCAGCTGTCACGTGCATTGGAGGTCCTTGTTTATCCTCACTCTGCCGACATCTTGCTCAAGATTACAAGAGCTGGTCCAGTGGAATGCCAGATTTATTGCTATGGCGCTTCCACGGAGACTACAGAGGTGAAGCAAAGCTTGTTGAAGTTAAAGGTCCAAGGGATCGACTCTCTGAACAACAACGAGCATGGCTATTGCTTCTAATGGATTGTGGGTTCAATACAGAGGTCTGTAAAGTAAGCCCTTTGCCGCTATCTACATGAGAGACATTTGCATTTGTATTGATGACTTTCTCGAATGCATTTACCTTAGCAATCTCTTCAACAATAAGATGAAAGAAGGGAACCCATATGAGGCAATGAGCTTAGCCACATAGTTAAGCACTTGTCTCTCAGTTATGAGGGGTCTCGTTTCTAGTTCCTGCATGTGCTGCTACAAAGTGTCAGAGGGGAAAAAGCAAAAAAGAGAGAGAGAGAGAGAGAGAGAGAGAGAGAATACTCTGCCAATTCATTGTTCACCAGAATATTGGAGGCATAAGACATTAACTTTTCTGGAGATTTTCAGAATGGGGGGGGGGGGGGGGGGCAATATGAGGAATTGTAGAGTAAAATTCCTTGAATCATATAACCAAATACGATCCTTTGTTTTTCAACATGATTGTCATTAGGGCTTCTGTTAACTAATAACCAAAGATGATGATGACACTAATTTTGTAAGTATAGTCTTATTTACTACTCTTGAATTCATTAACATAGATTTGTAGCTGAGTGACTCTCTTGTATGTCGTGGATGATTTTTCTTATTTACTTTTTAAAATGAGAATTAATTATGGTGATTAAATAAAAATGAAGAATAATTCCATGATTCATTATGCTTCTAAGTCATTTATCTTGTAATTTCCTAAACAGTTTATGGTCATTTAGCAACATTACAATGGGAGAAGTTATCATTATACAGTAATTACTGAATTACTACATAATATTACTAATATTACTGCATATAAAACTCATTACGGCTTAATTGGATTTGTGAAGTATTTGAAAGTCGGGATCCAAATTTTTTTTTTACTTCTAATAGAGTCTAATGATTGTGGAAATTATTTATTGCCTATATGACTTCCAAGAGTGATGCTCATTGCGCATGTACTTCTCATCCCATACATCAATCATAAAACAAAGGCTTTACATGTTAACATGCTTTTTAATCATTCACTTCCATATCATGATACATTTCTGGATCAATCAAACATGGGCATCAAAAACATTTTCCAACGAGCAAACATATGCAACAACTTGACATGATGAGAGGGGATATGATGTAATGATAGTGAGTCCCATGAGCAAGTACATACATATGGCCAACAGAGAATCATGGTTGTGTTTTTTAAGGAGGTTTAGTCTTGATACCGTATGTATATATATGTATATATATCACGCATGATGCGTATAATAGGAGAGGTATGATGGGTTTTCCTTGTGCAAAATGATTTTTCTTGGAAGCGTGCCATCCATATTCGTAGCACCTAGTAGTCTCCAGAAGGGAACAGGTTTGGTTACCCAAAAGAGATTGTCAACAATGTTTTTCCCTGTTACTTCCGTTTTAGTCTTTTGGGTTATCATTTGTTCAAGGTTCTAGAATGGCATGTGTGTGTGTGTGTGTGTGTGTATAATCAAAAGGGGCATGTATATATGTGTATATACATAATCAAAAGTAGTAGTTAGCAAAAGTCCAGGGTAGTCTAGAGGGGTTTTTCCTTTATTGAACCACTGAGTTTAAGATTCTCTATGCATGTTTAGTTCTAACAAAATACAACATTTCTTTATAAGCCTGTCAAACATATACAAAACGTTATTCAAATATATTTTAAATTCTTAAGAAAACTGTGGTTGGTTTTTGTTTAAATTCTTATTTCATGAATTATAAATATGAATAGATTAATATTATATATACAAGCTAATTTCATATAAGTTATAATTATAAAATTGAAAAGTATAAGTTAAGCTGATTAAATTATGCATTAATTATATAAATTATGATTTATTAATAATTAACATCTGTTAATTGAATAAAATATAATGATAATAAATGTTTACTTACAAAAATAATCAAATTATTAGACTCAATATGAGCAATTGAAGAAATATTATTCTATCACGAGAGAGAAACAAACAGGAGCATAAACCCTAAATCAAGTCTTGAAAAGGAGACTCGATGTGACCCTACGGTGCCGTATTGATAATTTTTTAATCTAAAAATTTTGTTATTTGGGCTACTTGTTCTGTTTTCTTAATTGAATTATTTGCTTTAAATAAAAAAAAAAAAAAAAAAAAAGAGTCATTATCGGTGATTGAAAATAAAATTTTGATAGGCTGGCTGGAAATTATTGACAAGACATCAATTTGATACGCAATAATTAAATTGTATGATTAAAGAATAAAAAATATTTTTAACAAAAACTTTTTTATTTGCACCATAAAGAATTTATTATCATCACTTAATTTGTATGTTCACCAAATTAAAATTAGTTTTTGGTCCCAATTTGTGCCGGCTTAAAGTTTAGGTCTACGTACAAATCTCAAACCTGCCACTGAAATTTGAGAATTTACTATGATCTTTATATTATTAAAAAGTTACTTTATCATCAAGCATAATTTATTGTCTACTCATAAACTTATTATTTTGTTTTAAACATAGCTTTTTTATTTTAGATATATATATATATTATATTTATATCAATTTTGAGAAATTAAATTTATAATAAAAATGATGTCTGACATATACTAAAATTTAAATGAAAAAAATATATACATATATATGTTATGTTTGATTTTTTTAAAAAATTATTATATTAATTTTTATTTATATTTTTTAATTAGTTTACTAACAACTATTTAAAATTATTAACTTTTGTTCATATAATTGATGATGTGTTAAAATTATAATATATAAACAATGATATATCATATAACATGTTATTATAATAGTACTCATAAATTTTAAACGACAATAACCTAAAATTATTGTTGGCACCATATAACTAAAACTTTAATTTTCTAAAAAATTATTAGTTCATCAAATTAACTAACATAAATTTTGATTAAAAAAAAAAGACATGTTTAATAGTTCGTTAACCACTGTCAATACCTATACACCACAATATAGTCACAAGTTTTGTTCAATTGCTTGAACACCATCGACATGCATACACGAACATATCCATGAGAGAAGAACCATTTAAGAAGAAGAAGAAGAAATAAAAAAGAAGCTGACTTTTAAACAGTAGAAACAAAAGAAGAAAGAGAAGAACAATGAAATGACAGGGTACAATGTGAATGACGACAACAAACTTTGGTTCGTGTAAATAATAAGAGTAGACGAAATGTTAAAAAAACAAAATCATTATTATAAGAGATCCAAATATGAAAGTTTCAAATTTTTAATCGTTGACAAGTTCATGTAACATATCATTATTTACGTGTATTTTTTAATATGTTATTAAAAAATAACAGATAATATTAAAAGTAAATTTGGTAAAAAATTAAAAGTAGAAGATTAAAATAAATAAAAAATTAATTATCGATAGAATATTTTTCAAAAATAATACATATATATATTTTGAATTTCTCATAATAATATAAATTATTTATATTTTGACTTTTGATTTTTTTTATATAAATTTTAAAAATTATAACTATTAAAATAAAAATTAATAGATTTAATAAGATAAATCAATATATTTAATCTATGCCATATATATCTCACATAAAAAGTTATACGTACAATAATAATAAATAATATGAAAAAAATAATTCGCATAATATAACTAATTACTTTGTGGTGATAAGTACAAACATTATATTTTTAAATTATTATTTATACCATCAAAATAGTATATAAAGGACTTTTATTAATTCTATTAGCAAATAAAAAATTCCATTTTAAAATATTTTTTATATATTATAAAAACTTATAATTAAATTACAACCTAACTTATAATTTGTAAACTAAATATATTCAGAAAACAAAATCTTAAAATATTTTATTTTATTTTTTTCTACTAAATAGTGTTAAAATCATTTTATTTACCAACAAGAAGATCTCAAACATATTAAGAAAAATCTTAATAGAATTACATAGTTTCCTAAATATCCTATACATTATAAACATATTATCGTAATTATTTTAAAAGATACTAAATCTTTATTCTGTATTATACACAAGTTATAATTTTATGCAATTAATAATTAATTAAAATTAAATTTTATTTATATTTAAAAATTTAAATAAATAATTATTATATATATTACGAAAATTATTTTTAGATTTAAAAATTATATAATGTATAATTTATAATTAATTAAATTATAAGTTAGAAATTTAAAATCATAATTTAAATTTAAAATGATGAAGGCCACGTCACGCTCAGATTTTCACTTTCACACTCTTTTGTTCTTTATAAATTTCTTTTTCGAGTTCCCCTTTCTTTAATCATCACACACACAGGCTTTGGGTTTTCACAGCGAACTCGCCATTGTGGAACGCGACTGCCATTACTCCTCTCTCTCTCTCTCTCTCTCTCTCTCTCTCTCTCTCTCTCTCTCTCTCTCATATTCCTTTTGCTTCCATTTTTATCTCCCACACACAAAGACATGGCGCTTGCGTGCTCTACTCATCAATTATAAACAAAACCCACCTCTTCCCTTTCTTTCACTTTCCCCGTAGATAGCTGCCCAACATAGCCACACAACATCTCGCATACACACCTATCTGGGTTTTTCTCTTCTTCTTCTTTAAACCCACAAATCAAACGTAGTTAAACTCAGTTCTCTGCAATCAACCCTTGTTTTCTCATGTAAGATCTCTTTTTCTATCTCTCTTGCTGTTGTTTTTCTTTACTCTCTTCTTTTGATTTGTTAATTTCTTTTGACCATGTATGCTGTATCAGTTCCATGTGATTTTGGAGAACTAATTAAGTCTAGTATTTTGTTTGTTCTTTTTGCCTCTATCTTGTGGCGTTTTCAATTTCTGTAGTATATTTGTTTGTGTAAGCTCTACTTATACCCGTGTGGAATTTTCTCTTTTGGGACGAGAGAAGTGCATACCCAGTTGGACAGATATACTTTGTGATAAAGTAGATATCTTTTGCTTTACTTTTTCCATCTTTGCATACACGTGAACGCGGGAGATGATCTTGTTTATGGGAAGTTCGACTTTTCAGTTGCTTCACTCTGACTGCTAGTTTTTGGTTCTTGTCAATAGGAATCAGCTGGGCTATATATTTATTGTATGAATTTTATGTTAATGTTCCAGAATTCTAAATCCTTTTTGATTTCGTGTCATATGTTGTTAAAACAGTAGTGCATCATAGACTTGTGCTGGAACTTTTTTTCACTTTGTATCATATGTTATTCAAACAGTAGGCAT